TCTTTGACCGCTTGGGTTGTTGAAGGAGATATGAGGTTCTGTTTCTTGCTCTTCTGGCAAGACATACCATGCTTTTGTAGAGTTTCTCTACATGGGAATAAAAACTGAGATATGACCAGTGCATAATTTTAAAAGAGGTTTAATACATTAGAGGGATGCCTGCCTTCTTCTTTTATGATCACCCTAAACAGGCAACAGGCACACTGTGTTGTGGTTTACAGCCAGGTTGTGATATGAGTGCACCTTTTGGCCCAACACATCTGATTAGTGATTAGAAAAGATTATCATCACAGCACTCCAGACAGATCCATAGGTGTTCCGATCTCCTCCTCAAAAGCTCCACAGGTGTAAAATGACTGAAACGCCTTGTTCCCTTAGTGAAATCTTTATTTCTTGTATCTCCAGGCTGCATCCCCATGTCCATCAGTCTAGACAGGAATACGCAGCCATGTCCTGTGGCATGCTCCTCGGTACGGTAAGTGCAGCGCATGGCATTGATAACATCACTTCTGTCCATTACTGGGCCAGCCATAGCAACTGCAGTGTCAGCAAGATAGTCTGCATGCTCGTTCCCTTGAACACCCGTATGACCTGCCTCAAAGATGAAGGTTAGATCAGCTACTCGTAAAGTGCTTAGTGCTGCAATCCATTCTTGCCCAATAAATCCAGCTTGAATTTTTTGAAGCATATTCATCGAATATGATTTCAGCAAATCCCAGAGGATCTATTTTTTTCTTTCCTAAGACAGGCCCCAGAACCCGCATGGGAAAGATGCCTGTCTCAATGGGTATGACGGCTATTGTAGATGATTCCAGCTGCATGCTTGCTTCCTAACAGTTAATTCTACCAAAGCTGCTAAAATACATTTCACAAATTTGCTAATAAAGTCCACTTCTTCTTCTGCCTGACTATCCCCCAATGGAGCACAGGCCCTCAACCAACTTAGGCCAAGTCGTTCTATCCTTCGCTATTACATGGAGCTCACCCCATGTCCTCCCCATCTTTCTAGCTCCAGCTCTCTTCTCCATATGTTTTTTGGTCTTCTTTTATTCCAATGCAAAGACATTCTAGTTATGCTGTTCTCTGGTTTTCTCAATGTGTAGGCTATCCAATGCCAGCATCTTTTCCTCACCTCTTGGTCTACTGGAGCTTGCTTAGTTTTCTCCCAAAGCTCCACATAAGTTATTCTATCATACCATTTAATTCCCTCTATTCTGCGCAGTCCATTGGATGAGTCTAATTTAATTGTGCCTTATATATGATTTGTGATACACAGATATAGTAAACATGTTTACCTCACAAACCGTTTACAGTTATAATATACCTGGCAAAACCACTTGAATAATGTACTCTAAACAAAGAAATGCCCAGGGTGATAGCTAAGCTGGTTAAACCAGCTGCATGGCGACAGGGTGACAAACTCATTTTGGTCCGAGTTTACGCTCGGGGGTAGGCAGAGAAGCCACATATCTCCCAGATTTACGGTATCTATCATGGAATCAAGGCCCAAGGGTTGCGATATCCATAGACTGAGCCAAAGGGTTTTCAACTCATGGTTTTTGGATTTAAAATAAAAAAATGGTTTTAAAAAAAATTTTAACATTTTGTCTGAGCAAGCAAGAACAAATCAACTTACATATATGTTAGGAAGTCTTTTATCACAGTGAAAACATCTTTTTAATGGTTCAAAATCTTGAGTTAGCTCTTGTTCCCACGCTGAACAAAGAGTAGAGAATGATTTAAACATACAATATAATCATAATAAACATTTTCTAAAACAAATAAAAGAATCCTCAATCAGGACAAAAATTTGTTAATGGATTTCATCAAATATCATTTAAAGGGTAATTTCAAGTATAAACTGCAGTTGCACAATAACGGCATATAAATCAATAATGTTTCAATAACCTTGACAACTAGAATTTCCGCTAGCTATGGAATTATGGGAAGAAAAGTTGTTATGCTTTTCGTTAATTAAAACACATAAAAATATCCCCAAAAAACAAACAGAGGCAGATAACAATCTATGCACACATAACATTATACACAACAATATACATACAGATAGCCAGTTATACGCACACACACTTATCCATACACATCCAGATAACTAATTATAAATATATAAACTAATTCTCTATCTCTCTCTCACACACAAACACACATGCACGCGCACACATACACACTTATCCATACACACACAGATAACCAATCATGTGCAGATAAATCAACACACAGAGAACCAATTATGAGCCCCTAAGTGCACACATGAACATAGCCACGTTTGCACATGCACTCACCTATGCACACGGGTGCACACACACTTTTTCATACACATATAGATAACTAATTATTAAAAAAAAAAAAAAAAACGAATTCACACACACATAACCAATTATGCATGCACACGTAACTAATTATGCATGCACACACAGAGACACTTATCCATACACATAACCATAACCAATTAGGAACACATAAACTAATAGTGCACACATAAAGTAATTCACAAACACACACAGCCAATTTTGCATGCATACACAGACACTTATCTATACACATACAGATAAATAATTATGCACACATATAAACTAATCCATTCACATACACATATAAAACTAATCCATCTTTCAGGAACACTGCAAGTAGTTGGATCACCAGTTTCTGTTTCTGATTAGCTCTCTCCACCATTGGCGGTCAGTTGAGATGGATTTCTTGGTTGCATGCCTGAGCCTGTCCAGTCAGTCAGGTTCTGTAACCAGGTCTTTCCTGATCTGCCTCTTCTCCTCTTTCCCTCTATTGTTTTTGAGAGACCATTGCTATGATCTTTTCTGCCAACCAGTTACAACCAATTACACACATATAAACTAATCCAAACACACACATTTGCATACATATACAGATAACCAACTATGTACCAGTGATTCCCAAACTGTGCACCGGGTGAGCCGTGACCCCTTCACAGGGACGTCGAAAAATCATCGAAGATACAAAAGTTAAATTTTTTTTCTCTTACATACGAATAGTCATACTTTTACTTACATTAGGGTGCCCCGGAAAAATTTTAATTGAAAAAAGGCGCCGCGACTAAGAAAGGTCTCGGAAACACTTACATAACCTAACCCACATGTACGTAACCAATTATGCCCATGCGCTAATCCATACACACACATATATATAACCAATTATGCACACACCATTATCCAGACATATACAGATAACCAATAATATACACACAAAAACACCTTTCTATAGCCAATTATGCATATGCACACATACCCATACAAACAAGGTCGTGGGTTTGAGTCCTCATTGAGCCAGACTTTTTTTCAAAATTGACCTTGGCTCCCAGATCAACACAGCCTAGTATGGGTATTAGGTGCAATCCTGGGTAGTAAAGGCGGCCGACGTGATGATGACTACATCACCCACGAAGTGCCGATTGGTTGCGTGGAAGAGGGTCCTCTGCTCCACTTTCAGTCACCCATTCACACACAGATACCCATGTATCGACATGCACTCATCAAACAGTCAAGAGTATCAATCCAGAATCATGCCATCCCTGGAAAGACAATCTGATTTTGAAGGAGGGACGGCCAAGAAATTTACAGATGTGCACGACCGGCAAAACCGTATCAAAGACCAACATTAACATCATCCTGTTGTGCCTTGGAGGTCACACAGGGCTCACAGTCTTTTCCTCCATGCTGCTCTATCCGGTGCAATCCTTTTGATATCATGGACGAAATCCAGTCCAGCACTTTTGGTCTCTCTTAACAACATACTTCCCAGAACTTCTCTTGAACATACTTAAAAACTCAGTGTATTTCCTATTTCAAGGCCTGTTTAGTGATTCTCTGTTCGCTTCTTTCCATGATGTGCCCAACACAGTGCTACCTTAAATTTCTTTAAGTTTTAATATTTCCAAAAAATCCCCCCCCACCCCAAAATAAGTTATTTGTATGTCCTCTATGATATCCCAAAGAATATTGGCATTTAAGGCTGCTGTAAAGGTCATTTTAGGTTCAATAGTTTGAAATTGTTTTCTGAATGTTACAATGCTCCTTCCATTGTCAAAATCAACAGAGAGATAGAGACAGAAAGACAGAGAGATAGATGGACACACACACACACACACACACACACACAGAGATTAATATCACTAGAATTCTATCAAAGAGACAACTAAACTGCTACACTAAAAACCTAAAGTAAAAAAAATTAAAAGTGAACAGACAGGAATCATGTGAGATGAACTTAAAAAAATAATGTGCAATACTGTACAGCAAATAAAACATACATATTTAAATCCTTTTAAAATGTCACTTAACGTACAGAAAAATAAACACATATATATCTAGTCAAGTCTCTCTCTCGCTCTCTCTCTCACACACTCACGCATGCACGCAAGCACAAACAAACACAGACAGAGAGAGAGAGAGACAGGCAGACAGAAAGAGAGTAATGCCTATCCTTGTGAAGGCTGAATATTTACTGCAGATATAAACAAACAATTCAGGATTTCACATACAGAAAACTGACATGGGTTAACTAACTGGCCGAAATTATTTCAGTTTTCAAGCATATCTTCCATGCTTTCCCCCGGGAACACTGATATGTCATGATGCCCTGCTAAAGAAAGAGTCTCCTCACAGTAGAATCTTCTACCAGTTAACTCAAGCTCCCAGTTTAAATCAGCCATTACTGAGTGATTCTCTGAGATATAGCATCTTCTGGAGGTTAGCTTGTTCAAGATATTGCTTAGTGACTATCTCCACGCCCTTTAAAAGTTACCTGGATTAACTCTTTGTTTACCATACATTAATTGAAAAGGTTACAAAACTGTCCTCAATTTTACCAAACTCTATTTACAGTGACCCAGCAGGGGTTGATCAGAGGTTAGTGAATATGTTCCCCGCTTCCATGATTAACATGTATCAAAGTTGGATTTCAACGGCCATGGAAGATACTGCAGCCTCACCAGATAATAGTCCCAAAGTCAGAAGTAGGTGCTCTGCAGCCAACCTTCAGTGTAACGGTGGCAAATAAACAAACTGGTGCATTGCAACCGACTTTCATTGGTGGCAAATAAACATACAACAAAAAACAGTCGTTAAGTCTGCAGTATGTCCAAATGAAGCAAAATACTTGTATAATTGCCATATTGTCTTGGAAGCTGAAATATATTGGTCGTATCAAGCGGTTCAGAAAAAATAATAGCAAAAGGCATGGTACCAGGAAGGAAGGGTAGGGGCCGACCGACATGACGATGGGCTGGGAATATAAGTGACTCCTTGAATATGAAAGTATATGAGGTGGGAGAGCTGGCGAGAGACCGAGTTTCTTTCAGGCACACCACGATGAGAGTGATGTTCTGCAAAGGACCTGCCGCACCATGATGATATGGGCGATGTTCAATTTTAGCACATTTGCGAGCCCAACACACTCGATTTAAGAAAACCCCCTAAATTTTTGCTTTTTACAATATGCCTGTTAAGGGGCTAAGGGTCTATTTTAACACACCCCAACCCCCTTTTTCCCAAAAAACCCTAGGGGGTAAAAATAAAACCCTAACCTGCACAGTCCATGCTAACTGCACCAGCTATGCAGCTCTACATCCTCAGACTTAAGACCTCCACCACCCTAAAAGGTAGTACAAACAGGCAGTACAGACAGCTTTGGTCTTCCATCATTTCCACCAGCAGAATCATTAATGCTGAGCTTTAGGAGTGAACTAAACTAATTCCTGTGAATCAAGAGATGAAGAAGAGACGCTGGAGTTTGAGAAGGCACACACTGAAAAATATAACTAGAATGTCTCTGCACTGGAACCCACAGAGGCAAAAGAAATAAAGTCAGACACACAATAAACAGACACCGAGAAGGGAGCTACAATATGAAGTTAAAAGGTCTAGTTACCAAAAGTATACACATGATATCTTAAAGACACTTTTTACAATATCCTAACATACCTGGATAAGGATTTAACAGCAGCTTGGCAGTGTCATTATCCACATAGTCAGCTGCAATTCTCTCTAACCCTGAAATAGAGAACGGTTTAACACTTAGTGAAACATTAAAAAAAATACAAACATCTAACAAAGATTTTTAAAAAGCACTGTGCTTAATGATTTCAGTAAAACAAATTTTATGTTACCACAATTGACGTCACTACACACTGGGCATTTCCATGAGTGCTTAGTCCTCCAATGCAGCAGCCATTCCAAGGTTATCTTTACTGTTTGTGTCCCATGAGGAGCTGGTTATAATCTTTCTTATCCTGGCCTCGAAGGTGGCATAGACATGCTTCACTATGCTTTACTCCTATGTCATGCAAACGTGTTACTTCTTCTTTGCGTTCGGTTTTGTATGCTCAGATCAGACCATCCTGTGGGCTGCCTCTATGAACTTGCGTGTCAGTAGCAGGTCCTTTATGGTTCACAATAGCCTGCTCTGCACACTTTGTTCTTGAGGCCAGGTGTCTTTTTGAAGTTGCAGGTAGAGTGGGCAGGTCTGCAGAATGTGCTCAGGTGTTTGTGGTCCTGTTTGACAAACAAACTGTGGGGACTACAATCTTTATTTTATGCATGTGGTAGTTGAGTCTGCAGTGTCCTGATCGTAGATGGAAAATTGTTGTATGTTGCTTTCTGTTGAGTTTGCTGATGGGGTCTTGTGGATGTTTATTGTTAGTTTGTTCTCTCCACAATTCCTTGTATTTTTTCTCGATAAGTGTTCTGATTTCTGGTAATGACAATAAATGGGTATGTTGTTTCTCCTTTGTTCCATTTTTTTGCAAGTTTGTCTGTTTACTCATTTCCTGGTATGACCCAGTGACCTGGGATCAACTGGAGAACGATTTGATTGTTTTCTGGGAGTCTGTTTAGCTGGCAGGTCAGTTCTCTCTCCATGTTGTGAATCCCTCTAAGTCACCTGGAGGACTGACCTGCAGTCACAGAGGAAAACAATTTAAACCATGTTAGTGTCACAGGTTCCGCATTATTCACTAACCGGTCCATGCTTCTTCTCACATGCATTGGTACATTGTTTTCTAGTGGGTCTGCTCATTCCCTCACCTTTTACGCCAGCATGTACAGGTGTACAGCTCCAGGTGAGGAAGGGTTATGAAATGTTTAATATTTGCTTTACCAAATCACCGTAAAAATCTGCATAAATTATTTTTGTGAGCTTGCCCTTAAAAAGGCACTGGCATAGTGTACTATGGTGATCAGTGGTTTTACTCTTGTAGAGCTAGTGAGAAGGAAACTGGAGCACTGATGGATCTGTCCGGAGTGCTGTGATGACAGTCCTCACTAATTACCATGGTTTAGAGCTAGGCTGTGATCCCCAACACATCTGATTCCAGCAATTCTTCAATCAGCTGCTGTTAACAACTTGTCTGTTAAGTGGCTGTAAATCTATCTGCCCTCCCGCCCATAAAAATGGGACTTCGGAAGTCACAAAACTATTAAAAACTGGTCCCCATGAAGGATGCAATCTTTGGTTTTTTAAGCCCCACCCTGGCTTCTGGTGGGGGTCATAAGGGCTGAAAGGGGTTTCTGGGACCTCTCCACGGGTGATCCTCATCCGCACGGTGGAATTTTGTGTCACCGAATGTTTATCCCTTGTGTGATGTCCTGGTGGGGTACAACAAGAAAGCAAGCAATCAGTCACAAAACAAGAGCTACTGATTTTTTACCAAAGAAATTTAGGTTAAAAAAAACTGAGAATGGGGAAGGACTTTGAGAGTGGTTAACTCTTAAGAAACAGAATGGCAACAAAACCCACATTTCTGTCTTTGCCCCAGTGTGTAAGTTTTCAAAGAAATACATGACCTGTCTACGTAATTAAAACTAAATAGATATAAGTAGTAAAGAAGCATGTGTGTGTATGCCCATATAAATAAAATGAGCTTGTAATTTCAAAACTTTACACCAGTTAATGAAATAATAGTTTTAATCAAAAGTAAAGAAAACCAGATACAACGCTTGAAAACATGTCAGTGCCAAGTAATTCAGATTGTGTTTACAGATAGTCCTTACAATGGCTTTTGTTTTCTAGAGAGAAAAAAATCATTATCTTAAAGTATCCAAAAAGGTGCTGGTTCTCACACCAAAGTGTTTACAACTAATTTGCTGAAGAAATTATACCTAAAAAATAAGTGCTAGTACTGCATATTCTGAGGCATGATTCTGAGGCAGGCCAAACAATTTCTTGAGGCCTCAGAGATGTGGTTTTACAGAAGAATGCTTAGAATACCTTGGACAGCAAAAAAGAGCAACCAAGAGGTTTTGAAAAAGGTGGGAGCCCGAAGACAACTTATCACAGACATCAGAAGGAGACAGTCATCATTTTTCGGCCATGTTATGAGAAGAGGGAAAATAGAACATGTTGTGACCACTGGAAAGATCTGTGGAAGGAGGGATAGAGGAAGACAACGAGAGAAGATTCTTGACAGTCTTGTTGCATGGCATGGAGGTGTGTTGGCACACGAACTGATACATGCTGCAGGAGATCGTGGATTATGGAGAGGCATGATCGCCCACGCCAGTTGGCAAGGCACCTGATGATAATGAGTACTGCATACTGCTGCACACTACACAAAAAAGCCATATGGTTTTTTTAAACTCATTATTCCTTTTTCAGCCACCTTAGTGACCCATTCTACCTTCATATTTACTTTAACTCGTTATTTCATAAAATGTTCCTATTTAAACAGATTCTGACCCTGACATTACTTTGAGTAATACATGTTTAGAATGTAATAAAAATTAAAGTAATGCCTGCCATGACAGAAAGAGTTCAGAAGTATAGCTGCCATATCAAAGTATAAAGGTGCTGTTTATAAACACTTCCCCGATAAAAGGAAGTTTTAACTAATCGGGAGGGGAGTGGGATTGCTGTTTTTAAACTTATTATTTTGACAATAAAAAGTATTTTTAACTAACAAAGTCAGAAAAACAAACACAAATTGTAGTACATGAAAGAAACAGGAGACAAATGTTTCCCCCAAAAAACTATAACAAAGTAAACAGAACAGCAGCCACACCTAACTATAGAGGTGCTGTTAATTACCTGCATACTTTGCATATCAGTCAAAAAACTTTTGGGCCGATACAAAATTTTCTGCATTTCAAGCATACCAAGAAAAAAAGCAAAATACTAGTTTTAACCTATTTATTTAATACATATATCACACAGGAAACTGATAATTTGTTCCACCTGTGAGTGAGTGTGAGTCACTTTTGAACAAAACTAAACTACCATGCATGGTCAGTGTCACCAAAATATTATTAGTTCTACTATACATACACTTTAAAAATCGATTCAAATGCCAGTATTTTATAATAGTATAGGCTTTTGAAGAAATAGCTATCATATGAAGTAAAAAATACTAGTTTCAACGTATTTATTGTATCTAAATACATTAAACAGGCAATTAATCGTTTGTCCCACCTGTGAGTGAGTCAATTTTAAACACAACAAAACTACCATGGTCAGTCACCACTCAATACTTCAGTCTATCACTCACACTTCAAAAAGTGATTTATAATAAACTTATAAAAGAAACAGCTATTGCTGTATGAAGTATAAATCAGAACAAATATGAGAAGCATAAAAAATGAACAATAAAAATATATCTGACCTAGAAGACTGCTGGCTGAGATGAGTAGTGTGACTACAAGAATAAAGACGCACACGAGCCCTAGCAGTCGGCAAGACTAGCAACGGTGTTCAAGTTATTGATCGAGCTTTTTTCGACGGTAGGCAGGGATGACCTAGTATTGGTGATAATTGTGACAGTTGACACCCAGGAGTCCACTTTCCGAAACATGTCGTTACCTTTGCTTGTGTCACACATTAAAATTTTTTTTTTTAAGTCCATAGAAAAAAAAAAACGAAACCTACCTAAGACTAGTGGCAGTTTTTTGCTCCAGCCTTGAAGATCTCGCCTGAAAGATCGCCGTTCCTGAGCGCAGCGTAGGCTGCCACAGTCAACCATGTTTACAGTTCTGCCGCTTACGTCACGACACAGAACCCAAATTTGGTGACGTTGACAACATTCAGGTGAAAAAGAAAGTAGCCCTGCTTGCTTCACCTGTTAGGAGACAAGGTAAGGCGAATTTTCGCTCCGCCTGATGCGCACAGCCGGTTGCTTTTGGTGTGTGGTTTAATCTGAAATTTAAACAATTTCCTTGCAGCTCTCACTACGCGTTCCAGATTCCCCTGCGTGTATAAATCATGAGAGATATGAAATACCTTGAAAAATCATTACTCGGAATATTAAGAATTATTAATTTTTTTTATTTTTTTTTAAACATTCTAGTATGTTACGCCCATTAATATGACAATGTCATTACTCGAACGCACACTGACAAAATGCAGTCCACGAGGCAGACACGCGCAGAAATTAGAACTTTACAGCATTTTAGAACTGCCCCAGAGCTCTGAAGGTCTATATTTGAGTGGTTTTAGTACAGTGGATAACTGTGCTCTCATTAAATTACCCCTCCCTTCTCAATTTTAATAGAAATACTAGCATTGTCGATAGGTTATTTGTAGAACAAAAATCGCGGTTTCATGGATCGAATATAAATTCTGACAAAGGAATATTTTGTAGGTGTATGAGGAGGATCGGGGGGGGGGGGGGGGTATATTTTGTTAGTATCAAAATCCGCATTCTCCTTTTTTTTTAGTTCTGTATGAACAGGAGGGCTTTATTCTGTTCTGCCGAGGGACGAACAAAGTACAAGTGGCGCAAGCATGCAAGGAGCGTTCTTTTCGCTATGCTGGCGTCGTAAACCAAGCTATGGCCAATGCCATTTACTGCATTTATTATATCACATTTGCAGTGTAGGCGGGGGAAGGGGGGGGGTTGAACCTGATGATGCACGGACGCATGGCTAGTGTTGTCGTCACAACTGTGCAACGGGGGAGGGGGTGGTCTTTGAACCTGATAATTTACGATCGCATAGCTAGTGCTGTCGCCACAACTGTGCAGGTGAGAATTTTATTTTGCCTTTAACAGAAACAAATCCCTAACCTTTCCGAGAATTTGAACCCGGGTCTCCTGCTTGAGAGCCCTGTGTTCTGTGTATTAAAAAGGTATTAATAATGTATTAAAATCTTTAGTGTAAGACAGCCTAGCATACGATATCACAACATCTAGCATGAGAATGGAGGTAGAGGCGGTAACTCCAGCTCTCTGGTGGCTAGAGAACAAGATGCATACACATTTAATTATAACAGACTCTGAAAGCATGCTGAGAAAGGTGAAGACAGGGATGCTTAAAGAAGCGTGGCAAGCTTCACTGAAAAGGTCAAGAGTAGTGAGTATAATTTGGATTTTTCCTCCAGGCTATGCCGGCGTGGTGGGTAATGAACAGGCAGACAGATAGGCTGGATCTGCACCACTGGGTGGTGAATTGATACATGACAAGACAGGCGTGGTCAAGACCCTTTGGGAACAAGCAACGGCATCAGTAGAAAAACAATATTATTATGGCCTGGAGAGAATGAGGCACCATTTTGTCTGGCCGGCTCACTACACTCAGAGGAAAGGCAAGACGGACATATAAACCAGATTGTGACCGGTACCATCAGTATTGGAACTCTGTGCTGGCTGCTGAAGATGAGGACGGAGTACGCAAAGGAATGTCCCGATTTCCATGATGTCAATTCTTGACTCAGCTCAACTCAACTAATAAGGCATTAATTAATAATAAAATAATAATTTTTTTTTTTTTTTTTTCGAAAGAAAATGTAAGCGACGAGTACAACCGTTACACGACGCTTTGCCACTGATGAATTAATCAAGTAACAGAAAGTGTATTGATTGGCACTCATAGAAAGAAGTAGATAGATAGAAGAACATACTAGACAACATAAAATTCGAAAGCTATAGTTACCGTGCCGGGAATTGAACCTGTCACCTCCAGACGGCGTCTACGCCTCGCCATGAATTCATGTGCACTAAGAACTTGGTAAACTAGGCACCCCCCAAAAAAGGTGTCTTATTGGCCATGTCTATCGTACAACTTGAAATCCACAACTATGGAATACGGACATAATTCATTTCAAACCATTTAAATGGCACCATAGGTTACAGAAATTTATACAGACATTTTTATATATTTATTTGCCACCGATGGAACGTCATCTGTTTTTGAAATGATTGTTAATACACGATACAGAAAGCAGTGGAAAGATATGATGACCAATACCAAGTGGCATAGAATGTAGGAAGGCTTGTAAAGGTCCTTACTAACTTGCAGATTTGGGAGCCGCTGAGGTATGGCGACTTCACACTACCTGGCTGATCCGAAGATCGTGGGTTAGATTCAGGTTCTGACGAAACCGAGCTTTCTGCACACATGACCTATGTCCTGTGCAGCAAAAGTGGAGGGTGTGATGTTGACTGCATCACCAACCGCGTGCTTATTGGTCTATGAAAAATATAGGTCTAAACTTGCATGCAAACTTTGAATATCTAGGCTCTGTAATAAATAACAATGGAGACTGTTTTAGAGAAATTAAAAGGAGGATGGACATATCAATGCAATGATTAAACAGCCTAAAAAGTCTATGGTTAATCACCAGCAAGGAAATCACAATTAGAATTTTGAGAGCATGCATTTTCCCTGTAGCAACATATGGATGTGAATCGTGGAATATTTCCCAGTCTTTAAGAAAGACAATAGGGGCTTTTGAGCTGAAATGCTTTAGAAAGATTCTCAGAATATCTTAAACGAAAAAGAGGAGAAATACTGAATCTTGAAAGATCTGAACTTCAAGGAAGATTGGCTAATAAACAGCACCTTGTCTCGGAAGCTGAAATATTTTGGTCATATTAGTCGCCAAGACGGATTGGAAAAAATAAAAGCAGATAGCATGCTACAAGGAAGGACCAACACGAAGATGGCACAGAATATAAGTGACTAAATGAGTATGAAAGTAGATGAGGCGGGAGAGCTGGCGAGAAACCGAGTTTCTTTCAGGAAGATCGGGATGAGAGCGACGTTCTGCGAAGGACCTGCTACATGATGATGATGATGAGACGTATGCTCGTAGACAGAGGTCCTTTCCTTTTTTTGCTTGCAGATTTGCTAGTTTTTAGATCAGTTCAACGATCTCCTCTTAGATATTTTGATATTTGCTCGCACTGTCACCCAAAAATATTAAATAAAACTGAAAAACAAATATATATATATATATATATATATATATATATATATATATATATATATATATATATATATATATATATACATATATATATATATATATATATATATATATATATATATATATATGTATATATATATATATATAAGTAAGCACTAAAAAAAGGGTTTCATGGACGAATTCATGGTCGTCTTCGCCTTTACCCCGCATTTACCCTTAACGATTAAAGTTTAAACAACGGAGCATCATGACACACGAGTAGTAACCCATAAGCGCTCTGTTCTTCTTCTAACTCAAGTCTGAGTCCAAAGAAGATCAGCACAGTACACGGGCTTTGTAGCACCGGCAAGGATCCTGAAATACTTTGGGTAGATTTTCAACTCCAAATTTTGTCCAGGCAGCGCCGTTAGGCTACTTTTTCCGATTTCCAAATTACAAGGGATTTTTTTACGTGCGCAACAATGCACACGGGCGTCCGATCTCACTACCCAGAGACCAGAAAGGATTTACTTGAAGTCCAAGTTCACGTGGAAAAAAAAATCCCAGCCCTTACAGGGATTAAACCCGGAACCTCCAGCACTCGAGGCGGACACCTCGAGACCACACAGCTTCCCTACTATCTAATGGATTGACCATCATGATATTACAAAGTCCTTAATCTGGATGGCAAGCCAACAGGGTAACAACCCAGGTACTATGCACAACTCGCAAAAAAAAAAAAAAGATATTTGGAGCACGCGCAACGACTACACTCACCTGGGGTAAGCCAGCCGTCTCTTGCGGGCAGTCATTGACCAGCTGTGGATGCACAGATTAAACACATCTCCAAGACGCTTAAATTATATGTAAGAAAGAAATTGAAAGTGGTAGTTGCATGTATCACTGAGTAAGGTAAAGTAAAGGACCCTTTTCCCCCCCATTAGGCGAACTGGGCATATAAGGCTGGATCTGTATTTTATAGATCAATCGGCACTCGCTGGGTGATGTGGCCGCCTGGGTGATATCATACCGGCCGCCTTTACTTCCTGCGACTTTACATGGTACCCATTTTAGGCTTGGAGCCAGGGTCATTTATAAAAAAAATATTTTAGGCTGATGCTAAAACTTCGGGTCGGAGGTGAGCGTCTCTAGTAGCTACACCACGTTTGCATCAGAATTACTGGGTGGTTAGACTATAATAATAAAAGAAAAAATAATAACAACAACAACAACAACAACAATACAAGGTGCAAAATGGTTTTACATGAGAGCGGGGCGGCTTTATTTCAAAAAAGTTTATAGCAGAAGACTCGTTTTCTCAGCGCCAATTGGCTGATCGCCTGCCGAGGGGTCGCACACAGCACTACACCCCATAGTTCCAGCAACTATTTTTAATGATCAAAGCTATCCAAAATCTAATACACGATCTCACTGTTTGATTTCTGTGGCCCCACTTTAGGGGAGGGAGAGAACAGACCCACTGCCCCACTAAAATCATGTCGTAAAAGTCGACTAATTAAGAGTGGTCCTTTCGAAGTCGGGGTGCATTTACCTGAGGGGCAAGGAACCAGCAGTTTGCTTACAAATAAGCGAGATCTTTAAAACGTATGTGCATGCAAAACTCAAGTTCTGCAACATGATCGAAGTCCATAAGTGGACGGACAGCCAGAACTTTCCGCTGGAGTTTACAGCTGGTGAACGCGAAGAAGGAGACAAAATGCACGAACTTAGGAGAGCTAGGCAAAACTATAGTTGAACTAGTTTACCACAAAAACCTTGGCTGCTTGAGCAAGCAGCGAGACGACCAAATGCAGACTGAAGGAAGATAACCTACAAACT